GAGAAGAAGAGAGAAAGAGAAGAGAGAGAAGAGAAGAGCGAAAGGAGAAGAGAAGAGAGAAAGAGGAGGAGAAGGAAAGAGAAGAGAGGATAGGAGAAAGAGAAGAGAAGAGAGAAAGAGAGAGAGGAGAAGAGAAGAGAGAAAGAGAGAGAGGAGAAGAGAAAGAGAGAAAGAGAGAGAGGAGAAGAGAAGGAGAAGAGAGAGGAGAAGAGAAGAGAGAAAGAGAGAGGAGAAGAGAAGAGAGAAGAGAAAGAGCAAGAGAAGAGAGAAGAGAGAGGAGAAGAGAAGAGAGAAAGAGAAGAGAGAGAGAGAGAGAGGAGAAGAGAGAGAAGAGAGAGAGAGGAGAAGAGAAAGAGAGGAAGAGAAGAGAAGAGGGAAAAAGTAAGAGAGAGAGAGAGAGAGAGAGAGAGAGAAGAGAGAAGAGAGAGAGAGGAGAAAGAGAGAGAGAGAGAGAAGTGGAGAAAGAGAGAGGAGAAAGAGAAGAGAAGAGAAAAGAGAGAGAGCGAAAGAGAAGAGAGAAAGAGAGAAAGAGAGAGGAGGAGAAGAGAAGAGAGAAAAGAGAGAGAGGAGGAGAGGAGAAAGAAGAGGAAAGAGAGAGAGGAGAGGGAAGAGGAGAAGAGAGAAGAGAGAGAAGGAGGAGAAGAGGAGAGAGAGAAGAGAGAAGAGAGAGAGGAGAAGAGAGAAGAGAAGAGAAAGAGAGAGAGGAGAAGAAAAGGAAAAGAGAGAGAGAAGAGAAGCAGAAGAAAGAGAGAGAGGAGAAGAGAAAGGAGAAAGAGAGAGAGGAGAACGGAAGAGAGAAAAGGAGAAGAGAAGGAGAAAAGACGAGAGAGGAGAAGAGAAGAGAGAAAGAGAGAGAGGAGAAGAGAAGAGAGAAAGAGAGAGAGGAGAAGAGAAGAGAGAAGAGAGAGAGGAGAAGAGAGAGAGAAGAGAGAGGCAGAAGAGAAGAGAGAAAGAGAGAGGAGAAGAGAAGAGGAGAGGGAAGAGAAGGAGAAGAAGAGAGAGAGGAGAAGAGACAAGAGAAGAGAGAGAGGAGAAGAAGAGAGAAGCAGGGAGAAAGTAGAAGAGAGAAGAGAGAGAGAGAAGAGAAGAGAGAAGAGAGAAGAAGAGAAGAGAGAGAGGAAGAAGAGAAGTTGAGAAAGAGAGAGGAGAAGAGAAGAGAGAAAGAGAGAGGAGGAGAAGAAGAAGAGAGAAAAGGAGAGAGGAGAAGAGAAGGAGAAAGAGAGAGAGGAACAGAAGAAGAGAGAGAGAGAAGAAGAGAGAAGAGAAGAGAGGAGAAGAGAAGAGAGAAAGAGAGAGAGGAAGAAGAGAAGAGAGAAAGAGAGAGAGGAGAGAGAAGAGAGAAAGAGAGAGAGAAGAGAAGAGAAGAGAGAAAGAGAGAGAGAGAGAGAGAGAGAGAGAAGAGAGAGAGAGGAGAAGAGAAGAGAGAAAGAGAGAGAGGAGAAGAGAAGAGAGAAAGAGGAGAGGAGAGAGAAGAGAGAAAGAGAGAGAGAAGAGAAGAGAGAAGAGAGAGAAGGAGAAAGAGAGAGAGAGAGAGAGAGAAGAGGAGAGAAAAGGAGAGAGAGAGAGAAAGAAGAAAGAGAAGAGAAGAGAGAGAGAGAGAGGAGAAGAGAAGAGAGAAGAGAGAGGGAGAAGAGAAGAGAGAAAGAGAGAGAGGAGAAAGAAGAGAGAAAGAGAGAGAGGAGAAGAGAAGAGAGAAAGAGAGAGGAGAAGAGAAGAGAGAAGAGAGAGAGAAGAGAAGAGAAGAGAGAAAGGAGAGAAAGAAGAAGAGAGAGAGAAGAGAGAGAAAGAGAGAGAGAGAAGAGAGAGAGAAAGAGAGAGAGAGAAAGAGAGAGAGAAGAGCGAGAGAGACGGAGAAGAGAGAAGAGAGAGAGAGAGAAGAGAAGAGAGAAGAGAGAGGAGAGAGAAGAGAGAAGAGAGAAAGAGAGAGAGGAGGAGAAAGAGAAGAGAGAGAGAGAGAGAGAGAGAGAGAAGAGAGAAGAGAGGGAGAGAAGAGAAGAGAGAAAGAGAGAGAGGAGAAGAGAAGAGAGAAAGAGAGAGGAGAAGAGAAGAGAGAAAGAGAGAGAAGAGAAGAGAGAAAGAGAGAGGAGAAGAGAAGAGACAAAGAGAGAGGAGAAGAGAAGAGAGAAGAGAAGAGAATGAAAGAGAGAGAAGAGAGAGGAGAATAGAAGAGAGAAAGAGAGAGGAGAAGAGAAAGAGAGAGAGAGAGAGAGAAAGAAGAGAGAGAGAGAAGAGAGAGAAGAGAGAGAGAAAGAGAAAGGAGAGGAGAGAGAAGAGAGAAAGAGAGAGAGAGAAGAAAGAGAGAAAGAGAGAAAGAAAGAGAAAAGAAGATGAGAAAAAAATAGTTCAAGAGCCAGCAGTAGGAAAAGAAAGTGAATACCTCAAAACACCGGAATTCTTTACCTGAATGACTGCACTCAGCCCGAAGAAGTACCTCCCGAAGGCATGCTGGTGGCCCAAGCTGGCGGTCACCATGAGCCACTCGCCCACGGCCACCACCACCAGCTGACGCATCAACCCTCGTCTGGTGAAGAATAAAGAATCACCCGATTGTATTATACGCAGACGTGTTTTCCCTCGACTACACGAGCATCACGTAAACACAAATGATAACAGTTTCTTTACTCTAGATCGCTCTCCCTCTCTGTCTCTCTCTCACCCACACTCATTCTCTCTCTCTCTCCCCCCTCTCTCTCCCTCTCTCTCTCTCTCTCTCTCTCTCCCCTTCTCCCCTTCCCTCCTCTCTCTCTCTCTTTCCTTTCCTCTCTCTCTCTCTCTCCTTTCTTTCCCTCTCTCTCTCTCTCTCTTCTCCTCTCTCATTCACACACACAAAAGCCTTACATAAGAACAGCTCCCTTATGCTGCGGGGTGTTGGCTCTGAGCGTGGCCAGCTGCATCATGTTGTGCAGCACCAGCACGACCCACAGCAACGTCACGGCAATGAGGAAGCCTGCCACCACCGCTGTCATGCCCCAGGCGGTGCCCAGGGGGAGCCAGGGGGTGGACAGCGGGTACTGCTTGATGTGGTGGATCGTCCAGACAATTGTGCCGGACATGGCGGAGATCACTGTCGGGCCAAGAGATCGGGGATTTGTTATCGCAGGACAGGTTTCTAGAAGGTTTAAGTTGTTCATGGTTACGTGATTATAATATCTATGTTTACACACACACACACACACACACACACACACACACACACACACACACACACACACACAGACAGGCACACACACACACACACACACAGACACAACACACACACACACACACACACACACACACACACACATGACACACCACACACACACACATTCACACACACACAACACACACACACACACACACACACACACACACACACACCACACACACAGAGCACACACACAGGCACATACACATACACACACACACACACAGACACATACGCACACACACAAACACACACACACACACACACACACACACACACACACACACACACAATCACTATTGCCAAGCGAAAAAATGTCAATAAAGACCGTACTTCAGTTTCACCCCACGATCTGAGTAGATCACACACCCACCCACACACAGTCACCCTACTCACAAAACACAATAAAGATGCAGATCCGCGTAGGGGAGATGGGCGCGTGGTGCATGGGCGCGATGGCCAGGTGTTGGTGCAGCGCCATCTGCTGACACACGCCCACGCCCAGACACAGAACCAGGGACGACGCCAAGGCAGCCATTATCCAGGCGTAATCTGTCTGCAAACGGGTCACAATCCATGAAAATCCGAAAAGGCTTATTATTATTATTATTATTATTATTATTATTATTATTATATATATATTATTATTATTATTAAACATTTTCTCTTCTCTTCGTCCGGGAATTTGATGTGGGTACGTTATCCTTGTATCCACAGGCAGTTATCAAATTCCCATCTGAATGCAAAATGAGTCAACAAATACAGAAGTGGAATGAAATACCCCGAAAGAAATTACAGTCTAAAACCCAAATTTCACTACTGATCTTAGACATCTTTTAATACATCTGTTAGACAACTTTTTTCTGAGTGTCCTTATTAAACACCGATACACTAACTTCGATACAGAAAACGTGAATAAAAAACACACAAAAAAGCAATCAAGAATAAGCAAATAATAAAATAAAATAAGAAAACGAAAATAAAACAAAAAGCAATCAAGAATAAGCAACGCTAGCGAATTCTACGGTCAAAAACACACATTTCACTAACCATCTTGGATCCGAATGCTGTCGATCAGATCAGCTTTTACCCTCTAATAATTTTCATGGTTTTGAAAAATACTCTTGTACTTTATGACGCAGAAAACAGCACACTTAGACATGCAATAAATGGATTTTTGTGACGAATCTTTACATTATCTGCATTTCTCTTGAAAATAAATTTTAGTCTCGTTTGTGAGAGAGATCTACACTAGAAGAAAATATCAACGCTAAATTTGTTTTATTCAATCGTAATAAGACCTGCTTTGAATATATTACGATTTCTTTTTCGTTTGATGAACGTTGCTATAGTAACACAAAGAAAACATTGCTATAGTAACAACAAAGAAAACATGAAAAAACAGCAACATATCGACTCACCATTTCCCTTAAGCCGAAAGGACAGTTGCTTTTACCATTTAAGAGTTTTTTCAATTTACCATTTAAGAATTTTTCTTTTGATTCAATTTACCATTAAAGAGTTTTTTTTAATTCATTTTACCGCTTAAGAGTTAAAAAATATTGCTATACTGGTTACCGCGGGGAAATGGACGCAGCCAAACCAACGCTGCGGTCAAACTCCCGTATTTCACTTCCGCTTTTGGATCTAAGTTTTTTTTCTCTTGCTCAGTTTCATTTCATAAATATTCTAGTAAATATTCGATACAAACAAACGCAAATAAGCCACACTCACTCAAACACCCACGCCCATGGAAGTAGACACACACACACGCCCATCCCAACACGAAGATAAATAAATATCTACAAACAAACTGTGGTGTTGGAACCGGTGTTTCACTTAAGAGATTTAATCTCTTAAAAGATCTTTTATCAAATATTGCTATACTATCTGCGACACAGAAAATACAAATAAACCACATACCCAACACTAATGCATGTCCACACACACAATTAATCAATATTCATAAATGCACTCTGTGGAATAAAATGGCGTTTCACTTCTTGTGTTAAATCCAGCGTGCTGTTAATCTCTCAGAAGTTTCCTTTCGGAAATGAAACGAGCAAGGGAACATCCCATATACACGTACATGAAAAAATAAATGTTTGCGAATTCAACGGTCAAATCCCTTTACGCAAATACACATTCACACACGTGAATAAATGTTCATTACACTTGTTGGACCCAGTGTTTCTGCTGAAACTTTCAATCTTTTATGAAATTGCAAAACTATGTACGACACAGGAAACACATAAATCCCTACCCAAACATACAGCCGGGTGCGTACGCTTACAGACGTACACACAGACACAGACAGACATACAGATACACAGACACAGACACACACACACACACACGTTTGAAAACCTACATTTCACTGCTGGGGTTAAGCTGTTGTTTTTCTTAAACTTAACAACTTGTAGCGTTCCATTCGCTTGATAAATATCGCTATGCTGTCAGCGACACAGAAAGCACAGATATATCACATAATTTTTACCATAGGCACAGGGATACAAACGGGCACTCAGTACTTTTTTTCTTTTTGATAAATAATAACCAGTAATGGCGGAATGGGTTAGGACGCCACCTTTCACACGGGAGACCAGCGTTCGATCCCACACCATGCTAAGTGGAAAGTGCTCCACGTAGGTGCCACTATTCCTTTTGGGTGGCCGAATGGTCTCAAAAGACTGTCACGGTCAAGGACCTTCCCTTCGATTGCCCACACCCGTGATAGCAAGAGCATGCAACCGTTAAAATTGCCAGCTCCACACTAGTCAGCAGAGGACAGACCAAGTTGGAGGCAGCGTATTCGAATGGCCGCCCCCACTAGGAATTAAGGCAATGAAGAAGGCAGCGGCCATGTAATGTAAACGGGACAAAAGATTTTTATTCTTAATAAAAATAAGCCTCATTCCGCGTACCTTGGCCACAGGGACGAGTGCGTAGGCGGCGAAGATGGCGTTGACGGCCGCCAGGGACAGGCACTTGAGGAGCTGCAGCTGCGCGGACGAGAGCGCGGCGCGGGGCAGCAGCAGGGCCAAGCACAGGGCAAGCACCACCAGCGCCACCACGCAGCTGATGCCCGTCATGAGGTTCGCGTCCCAGGCGGGCGAGGGTTCCTGCGGTTGGAGGGGAGTTGGGGTAAAAAGCCGCGGTTTCACTACCCTTGCCTGACACTGCCCTTTTGGCCTAACCTGTGACGGCTATCTCGCTTACCAGGTGTTTTTCACTGTTCTGCTCTCGCCTTCTCGTTTACGTGCATTTTTTAACTATAAGGAATCATCTAGTCTACTGTCTATCCTTGATGTCTATCAAGGATAAACACTAGACGTTGATACACAGATATGGATAGATACAGTCAATGCACGTTTAGACAGCTCGCACAACTCTATCTCAACGAAAATCCTAGTTGACAACTGTTGAGCTAAGCCCCGCCTCTTTGCCTTCACTCATTGCAAATATCAACAAGATTTAAAAATATATATATATTTGTTCTTGATTTATTTTCTAGTTATAGTTTTACCACTGTCATTAGTGAACTGTTTTAAAAAAATATATATAATGAAGAAAAATCGCACAGCTGACCCCAAGGCTTAAAGGGGTAAAATTAATGACGTCATCGCTTAAAGCCATAAGATAAGACACAGCTGTTCTCAATTGTATAATTTGCCTAATATTGTTACAATTACCAGAAATGAAATAAAATCCACTCCATTATTTATGATACCGAAGTATCCCCTACCAAACACAGCTGTCAGAATAATGTAGTTTCATTTTAGATTTTTAATTAGAAGCAAAATATCATGGAAGCTTCAAACGGAAAACTACTTGACTACTGTGTGAATTCCATTGTTAATACACACAACTTTGCTTTGAGTCCGAATCTCACACAACTAGATAATTCTAATGGCAACATGTATTTACTTGTGTTAATGCCTGTGATATATTAACAAAGCAAGACACACAGCCGTTCCGTTGCTATTTTGAGTCTGTAAGTTTACATCATAGCAGTGCAGGATGACTTTATACATACATAAATATGTATATGTATACATACATACATATATGTATATATGCATACATATGTATATGCACATGTATACATACGTATGTATAGATAAATATATATGTATATGCACATTATATTATATAATATATATATATATATTATATATATATACATACATATATGTATATGTATACATACATCATACATATGTATATATGCACACATACATACATATGTATATGTATGCACACATGTATATGTATGCAACATACATACATATGTATATGTATACATACCTACGTATGTATATGTATACATACATACATGTATATGTTACATATGTATATGTATACCTAATATGTATATGTATGCACACTACATAATAAATACATGTGAGTGTGAGTGTGAGTGTGTGGTGTGAGAGAGAGGAGAGAGAGAGAGAGAGAGAGAGAGAGGAGAGAGAGAGAGAGAGAGAGAGAGAGAGAGAGAGAGAGAGAGAGAGAGAGAGAGAGAGAGAGAGAGAGAGAGAGAGAGAGAGAGAGAGAGAGAGAGAGAGAGAGAGAGAGAGAGAGAGGTATATATAAATAGATACCGATACATATGCATATATAGATATACATAAACATACAGATATAGATATGCGTCTAGATTATTGATATGCATCTATCTATGCATATAATACTTAACATAATCTTTTCTTACCTCTTCTATTCATACTCTCCCTCCCTCCCTCCCTCAAAAGCAGCTCACCTTTCTTGGCTTCCGCACCAGCAGGAGGGCGAAGATCCCCTGCCCTTGGCAATGACACGCGCATCCTCCTTCACCGGGGAATTCCGCCTCGTCGTGCCCTTCATCCCAGAGGTCCTCTCCGGCGCCGACCGTCCTCAGCTCGCAGGCGTTCAGGTCCCACACGACGGAGGCGCCGACGGGGTCCGCTCGGCCACAGCCTGGCGCCCAGCGGGGGTCCTCCTGTGTTCTGGGGAGCGGGGATGAAAGGGGAGGAGGAATTGATGGAAAGGGGATAATGGAGAATTGGAAGAGGAAGGGAGAGGGAGGATAAGGAGAGGGATGGAAGGGAGGATGTGGATGGGAGGGGAGGACAATGAGAGATAACAAACGATTAGCAGTGCAAACAATGCAGAAAGCACAGGAAAAGAATAAAACGTGGAAAGTGAGCTAGAAATACGATGAAAACTGGGAGAAATGTGAAGAAGAAGGGAAACACAGAACTACCAAAATATCAGCATCAAAACTAATCATCTCAAGCTAAAATTTCCACAACCATTGGATATAAAATACAACACATTACGATACACACGGACGCATATTCACAACCAAAATTCTTAGAGTGGCAACAGTCTCCCACACGCGACCATAATCCTTACACATTGTCCTGATCCGAAGGAGTCTGAGGACAAGAGGGATAGACGAGCCGAGACAGAATCCGTGGCACTGGGGCGTTCGTGGTGGCACCCGGGGCGTCTGTGGGCGTCCTAGTGCCTCCTCCTCCTGACGTGGGCGTGGAGGACTCGCTCACGCCCACGATCTCCACCAACGGCGCCTCAACCATGACTGGGACTTCGGTCTTGTGGCTGTAAAAGTGAATCATGAGACAGGAGCTTTAGGTTGTGGATTTGGGAAAGAGGGAAGGAGAGGAGGGGGAGGAGGAGGGAAGGAGAGGATTTGGGAGGGAAGGAGGCAGGAGTGGAGAGGAGGAGGGAACAGGGAGAAAGAGGAGGAGGGGGAGAGAGGGACAGGAGGAACGGGGAAGAGGAAGAAGACAAAAAAACAGGGAAGAAAAGGGAGAAACGAAAATCGAAAACAGAAATGAGAAAAAAAAACGGAAAAGCAAATCCGCGAAGGAGAAGAAGAAAAAACAAAAACAAAAACCCAGAACGAAAACGAAACCGCCCATCACTCCTTACTCCTTGCCGATGAGGAGGCGGTCGATGATCGTCCTCGGGCTCAGGAACGCGACGACGCCCAGCTTGACGGTACGGGCGTGGGCGTGGTCGGTCTCCTCCTTCCCCCCCGAAGCGGACGCCCTCGCCGCTCTCTCCCGGGCCGCCCACCACGTCCGCGAAGAGTGGTCGTCGAGGCGGACTTCCACCCGCACCTCACCCGTCGAGTTGCTGTGGGCGGGTGGGCGTGAGGGGTCATATTTATCTCGATTACTGTATGTTTCTTCCTTGTCATTATTATTGACATATTTCCTTTTCTACTTTTAATTTTTTTTATCTATTAACTTAGTCATTTTTTTTCTAAAGAAAAATGGCATTAAATACATAATTGGATAAGAATACAATCCTAGCTGCCTCTTTCTTGAAGGGACTAAATTAAGTACATCAAAAAATGATAAAAGAAAACCATTAAATTTTAAAAACCTTGAACAAAAAAGTCAAATCAACAACACGAAACAAAGCCACTAATAAAAAAAAAGAAAAAAAAAAATAGATGTACAGAATTACACGAAAACAAAAACGCGGTGAATATGCAATAAAAAAAAAGAAAAAAAGCAAATTTCCGACGACGCCAAAACAAAAAATAATGACAAACAAAAGTAAAAAATAGTAAGAAAAAAAAAACAATCACAAAGACAAAAGCAAAATATAAATAACAACAACAACAAAAGACAAAAACATAAAACAAAAGCAACAAAACCCAAAAAAGCCAAAACCAGACCCCAAACCCTCATCAGAGCCCCACCTGGCCCCCCCGCCCCCCGCGAAGGGCCCGCTGTCCACGGAGAAGGTCCCCCCGGCCGCCAGGGACCCCATCTTGGCCGCCACGTAGGTCAGGTGCGTCGCTTGGCTCTCTCTTGACCCGAACTTCAGCGACGAGAGGCTAAATTTGGTGAACCTCATGACGAGTCTGAGGAGGCGCCACGCGTCCTGTGGGGGGAGGGGGAGGCTCAGGGAGTGCGGGTGAGAGTACGAGAAAGTGCTGATATTAAACGAAGGGATGAGTGGGCGTACGAGAAAACAGATATTAAATGAAGGTAAATATTCGAAGGAAATGGAGAACAAAGAAGAAGAAATTGTAGGCACCATGGATGAATCACGAGAAAAATATCTTTCTTTTACACACACACAAAATTGAAATGAATTTCCAGAAACAAAAATATTCATAATGTGATCACAAATTTCTTATGAAGTAAAGGGGGAAGAGGAGACAAACAATGGAGGGAGGGGGGGAGGGAGGGAGAGAGGGAGGGGGAGAGAGGGAGAGGGGGGAGGGGGAGAGGGAGAGAGGGAGAGAGGGGAGAGGGGAGAGAGAGGGAGAGGGAGAGGGAGAGAGGGAGAGAGGAGAGAGGGAGGGGAGAGAAGAGAGAGAGAGAGGAGAGAGAGAGAGAGAGAGAGAGAGAGAGAGAGAGAGAGAGAGAGAGAGAGAGAGAGAGAGAGAGAGAAGAAGAGAGAGAGAGAAAAGAGAGAAAAGAGAGAAAAGAAAAAGAAAGAGAGAGAAGAGAGAGAGAGAGAGAGAGAGAGAGAGAGAGAGAGAGAGAGAGAGAGAGAGAGAGAGAGAGAGAGAGAGACAGAGAGAGAGAGAGAGAGGAGATGAGAGAGAGAGATGAGATGAGAGCAGCAGAGAGGATGAGGGAAAAGAGCAGAGAGAGAAGAGAGAGAGACGAGAGAGAGAGGAGAGAGAGAGAGAGGAAGAGGAGAAGAAGAGAAGGAAGAAGAGAGAGAGAGGAGAGAGAGAGAGAGAGAAGGGTGGAGCGGAGAGAGAGAGAGAGGGAGAGGGAGAGAGGAGAGAGGAGGGGAGGAGAGAGGGAGCAGAGAAGAGAGAGAGAGAGAGAGAGAGAGAGAAGAGCGAGAGAGAGAGAGAGAGAGGAGAGAGAGAGAGAGAGAGAGAGAGAGAGAGAGAGAGAGAGAGAGAAGGAGAAAGGAGAGAAGGAGAAAGAGGAGAGAAGAAAAGAGAAGAGAGAGAGAGAGAGAGAGAGAGAGAGAGAGAGAAGAGAGAAGAGAGAGAGAGAGAGAGAGAGAGAGAGAGAGAGAGAGAGAGAGAGAGAGAGAGAGAGAGAGAGAGGAGAGAGAGACAGACAAAGACAGACAGACAGGAGACAAAAAAGGGAGAGAAAAGTTGATAAAAAATGGGGAAGACAAGGAAAAAGAGACCGCCAAAGTAGCCCTTGCGAGCCGCCCTTCGACCTACCGGGGCGTGGAGGGCCTCCTTCTCCCTCACGAGCTCCTGGACGATACTGAAGAAGAGCCCAGATGACATCCCTCCTCCTTCTCCTCTCCCCCTTCCTCCCTCGCCCTCCTCCTTCTTCTCGGCCACCTCCTGCAGCTTCCGCAGGATCTGCAGGATGCTCCCTCCTTCGCCGGGGAGGAAGGGCACCTCGCGCTCCAGCAGGAACCGGTTGAAGGCGGCGGCGAGGTCGTCCACGGAGCCGGGGATGGTCCTGTACCCCCTCTCGTGGAGGAGCAGAGCCTGTGGGGGGGAGGGTAGTGGGGGAGTGTAATTTAGGTGTTTGCTCTGAGGTGGTCGAGGCTCAGGCGGATGTCAATTTCACAAATGTATATTTGATTTATTGTATTTACACACTCGCATATATATATATATATATATATATATATATATATATATATATATATATATATATATATATATATATATATATATATATATATATATATATATATATATATATATATATATATATATATATATATATATATATATATATATATGTACACACATTCATACACACACGCACACACAGACACACACACACACAAACACACACATATATATACACATATATATATGAACATATATATGCATATATATTTTTATATGTCTATATGCATGTGTGTGTGTGTGTCTGCACTCCCCCCTCCAGCAGCCAGCCCACCCGCTGCCCACCGTGCGGACGAAGCGCAGGGGGGCGTACAGGCAGCGCGAGAAGTCCGGGGGGTCCCAGCGCGGGGGGGAGCTGGGCGAAGGGCGGGGCAGGGAACGGCACCACCTCTCTGCGCGCCCGAGGTGGCTGGAGGGGCACCCGGCCTCGTCCCGCTCGCTCGCCTGCGAAGGAGGGGTGGTGGAGGTGGTTAGTGGAGGTAGCGGGAGGGGAGGAGGAGGGAGGAGGAGGAGGAGGAGGAAGGGGGGAGGGAGGAGGAAGGAGGGGGAGGAGGGGGAAAAGGGGAGAGGAGGAGGAGGAGGAAGGAGGGGGAGGGAGGGGAGGAAGGAGGGGAGGGAGGAGGGAGGAGGAGGAAGGGGGGAGGGAGGAAGGAGAAGGAGGGGGAGGGGAGGAAGGAGGGTGAAGGAGGGGGGAAGAGGAGGAGGAGATGATGATGCAGAATTAGAAGAAGCAAACGAAGAAGGAGGTGGTGGTAATATAATAATAATAATAATAATAAATGGTAATCATGATAATAACCACAATACTAATAGCAACAACAATACTCAGAGAAGACGAGGAGTATGAGAGAGAGAGAGAGAGAGAGAGAGAGAGAGAGAGAGAGAGAGAGAGAGAGAGAGAGAGAGAGAGAGAGAGAGAGAGAGAGAGAGAGAGAGAGAGAGAGAGAGAGAGAGAAGACAGGACAAAAAAGGGAGAGAAAAGTTGATAAAAAATGGGGAAGACAAGGAAAAAGACGAAAGCCAAGCCCACAAAGAGCACCCCCCCCGCCCCCCCCCCTAAATACCCACGGGCGTGAGGTGCCAGGCGACGCCGAAGTCCTCCGTGGGCGGGCAGGCGGCGCGACCCTCCTCCAGGACGTGCAGCGGGACCGTCGCCTCCGCCAGGACCTTGAGCGAGTTGCCGGGAGTCCACACGAGGCCCTTCTTCTCACGCGCCAGGCACCGGATCCTCAGGGATTTCTGGAAGGGCGCGAAGGGCGTGAGAGGGCAGGGATTGATAGGATTTCTGGAAGGGCGTGAGAGGGCATGGACTGATACCACGCGGGATGCTTGGTATCTCCCTCACACTCACCTTCTCACCTATACCCACTCACATTCTCTCCCTCTCACTCACATCCTCACCTTCTCACACCCACCCACTCACCTTCTCTCCCTCACACTCCCATTCTCACCCACCCACTCACCTTCTCATCCACACCCACTCACCTTCTCACCCATACCCACTCACATTCTCTCCCTCTCACTCACATTCTCACCTTCTCCACCCACCCACTCACCTTCTCACCCACACCACTCACTTTCTCACCTCACCCCTCACCTTCTCACCCACACCCACTCACCTTCTCACCCACACTCACACTCACACACACACCTCACCACACCACACCCACTCACTCACCTTCTCTCCCTCACACTCACATTCTCACCCACCCACTCACCTTCTCACCCATAACCCACTCACATTCTCTCCCTCTCACTCACATTCTCACCTTCTCACACCCACCCACTCACCTTCTCACCCACACCCACTCACTTTCTCACCCACACCCACTCACCTTCTCTCCCTCTCACTCACATTCTCACCCACACACTCACCTTCTCACCCACACCCACTCACCTTCTCACCCACACCCACTCACTTTCTCACCCACACCCACTCACCTTCTCTCCCTCTCACATCACCCACACACTCACATTCTCACCCACACACTCACATCTCTCACTCACACACTCACATTCTCACCTCACCTTCTCTCACCCACACCCACTCACCTTCTCTCACACACTCACCTTCACCTCACCTTCTCACCCACACCCACTCACCTTCTCACCCACACCCACTCACCTTCTCACCCACACCCACTCACCTTTCTCACCACACACACTCCATTCTCATCCCACACCCACTCACCTCTCATCCACACCCACTCCACCTTCTCATCCACACCCACTCACCTTCTCATCCACACCCCACTTCACCTTCTCACCCACACACTCACATTCTCACCCTCACACTCACATTCTCACCCACCCACTCACCTTCTCACCCACACCCACTCACCTTCTCACCCATACCCACTCACCTTCTCACCCACACCCACTCACCTTCTCACCCACACCCACTCACCTTCTCACCACCACACCTTCACACACCACTCACCTTCTCACCCACACCCACCTCACCTTCTCACCCATACCCACTCACCTTCTCACCCCACCCACTCACCTTCTCACCCACACCAACTCACCTTCTCATCCACACACTCACATTCTCACCTACACCCACTCACCCTCTCACACCCACTCACCTTCTCATCCACACACTCACATTCTCACCCACACCCACTCACCTTCTCACACTCACACACTCACCCACACCCTCCCCTTCTCCCACCCACATCCACTCACTCAAGTAATCACCTACCTACTCACTCACCCACCCACCCACCTCTCCACCCTCCCCTTCTCTTACCGTGATATTAAACAGGTCCAGCTGGAAGCCCTTGCGCAGGAGGAAGCTTCTGTGCGCCTCCGCGAAGCCGTCGGGGGGCAGCACCTCCCAGTCGCCGCTGTAGTGCTCGTTGTCGTGCCAGTCCCGGTTCTTGGTGGTGCACACGAGCGAGGCATTTTCACCCTTAACGACGGCGGTGGGAGAGAAGAGGGAAGGGTCGTTTGTTAATAGTCTTTCTGGGGCATTTTCGCTCTTTAACGACGGGGTGGGAGAGAAAGAGGGAAGGCCGTTTGTTAACAGTCTTTCTGGGCATTTTCGCTCTTAACGACGGTGTGGGAGAGAAGAGGGAAGGGCCGTTTGTTAATAGTCTTTCTGGGCATTTTCGCTCTTAATGACGGTGGTGGAGAGAGAGGGAAGGGCCGTTTGTTAATAGTCTTTCTGGGGCATTTTCGCTCTTAATAGACGCGGTTTGTATGGGAGAGAAGAGGG